ACTAAAATAGTGAAAACGGCACATTTTGGAAACAGATCCGCAAAGTCCTTAATTTTCTGAGTTATGTAGTGTGTTAACCTGTGAATTTTAGATTTTTAGACTCAGTACTTCTTGTAAAGTTTCAAAAACCTCCTTTCTCACAATTTTCTTAATGGTTGATTTCTTTGTTGTCGGAAAATATTATTTAATAAATTCGAAAAGCAGTGCAATTTTTATACGAATGACATATCTTTCTCTTTTTCACTTTATAAAGGCAGTGATTGTATTCAAGTTTTTTATGTACTAGATGGCAAAAAATCAAGCATGTTTTGCAACGACTTTAAAGAAATTCATTTTATTATGTTCAATGATTACTTGAAGTGATGTTCATTGACATTTCGCAGTCGTATTTCAGCAACACTAGAAACATCTCATTGGAAACTAAAAGCTTGGTCAGCGCCGTTGATCAAAATAGATTTGGTTTTGGTTAAGTTCTGTTATACATTGGTTGAGATTTAAATTCGAAATCATGATAGCGTTTGCTTAAGAATAGTCATATTTCAGAAAGAGACATGTATGTTGTTGCATTCATCATTACCGGATATTTATCTTTAATGTACATCGATTTATTATCACTTTTCAAAGTCTTATGCTTTTTCTCTGTTTTCACTTAGAACCAAAAAGTGCCTTTTTACGTCATGGGGAATTTGTCATAGTCAAATGATCAAATACCCCTGAAACACGGCTAAAGATGATGATTTTAACCACGAAGTTACGTTTGAGATTTGTACGGTAGAACTTGCAGTAGCTTGTCCATAGTGTGACTTGAATTTTAATCGTGATAACTGTGTTTAATCAATTTGTCCATCCGGTTTTCCATTGCTGTCATTATTATATACAATATTGAGCTATCTTGTGTTGTAGGTAGTATCAGAATAAAGTTCTCGTACTTATTTTTCTCGTTTTCTGGTCTTTTAGCGATAGCTTACTGGTGTTTTGCAATGAATTGTGTAATGTTAGAGCAGCTATCATTAAATGGAATAGAAATCATTAAATTGGAATCATGGGAATCATTAAATCATTAAATTCACCAAGGACCATTAAATTTTCTACAGCAGGATTGTATGTTTTTGTCTCGTGATTGATAAAGTTCATGGACGAAAAAAGGAATCTAAATCAAGATAATTTTAAAAACTAGTAATGGTATATGCGCTGGGTTATGTTTTTTCGTTGAAAGAAGTGAAGTTTCATAAAATTTCACATCTCTCCACGATTCATTAGAATTTTAGTATCTAGATATATCAGCATGTTTTTCGCTTCTCAAGTTAGTGCATTCTCCATTTAATAGTGATAACGGTACTGATACCATTATAGGAGATTTTTCGTGGGATTCGCTAGATCTCAGTAAAATTTTAAAATGGTAAACAATTTATAGATACTTTATGAGGACTATCTCTTGGATATTACGTCGATGAGAGGATGCGCTCCCGTTTTTCGATGCTATCATTGTAAACCGTCCATGAGGAGAGTAAGTAGTCCATAACATTTGCGTTCCAACATCCTGTTCTACCATCTTTCGTTATCTTTTTTGCTGATAATTGGAACGTGTTTTTCTTTTAAATATAGTACCTAATCACTAGGCGCTAATTCCTTCACCGTAAATTCTTCTGTCTTTTCGTTCATTTAAAGTTCATTTTATAATTATGTAATTACTTCAGAAGTACTATATAGATCATTAGTAACTCAGTGTTTTTTTAGCTTGCTTCAACCATCCACAACATACGGCCTAAGCCATTCCTCTTTGATGTTTCTAGAGATTTTGATTTGCATAAACATTTCGGGTGATCCAAAGATTACTAGTGTTAAATTTATTTTGGGTTCACTTATATCAAATTCATTAGTTTTTCTACCAAAAATTTTATCCCTTCAGGCGACGCACGAAATATTGCTTTAGCAAGTTGTCTATTGTAATTAGTTTCTAGGATTTAACAGTCCAAGTCTTCTGATTGAATTATTGGAGACTAACCAGTTGGCAGCATCCTTTTAACCAATCAACTCACTGATCGCTTAGATTTTATTTGAATACCGTTTTCAGATCATTGTGATTGAATATCTGAATATTTTTCACGAGCTGCTCTTTTAAAAAAAAAATCAATGAGAGCACCTTTTTATAAGATTTCAAATAAATCCACAGCTCTAAACAAGAAAGTGTCTTACGAAATCGAAATTCAAAATTCACGTACATTCTTAACTATGCAGCATTTATTCTCGTTATCAATTCAACATCGAGCTACTCATCTTATTACTCTTTCATTTTCCGATCATTTTTCGATCAACTTTTTACTATTTTTCAACAAAATGATAGTTAAGGATGATGCATTTTTGCAGAATGCATTCTCAACAAATGAATCAATTTTGGCTATATTTCCCAGCTTTTAGAGGTATCATATTTTTCTTGTGATACTGATGATACGAATTTGAAATAGGATGTCGTGTTTTATTACCTACCAGTCTAGACTTCAGTGATAACCCTGAAATTTTAATTGAGATCATGCGATTATCCATGTTAATAAACTAATTCCCTAAACAAAAATTAAAATGGAATTGAGAACACTGCAAACTCTGTGTTACGCGTAAAATGTTTGGAGTTTTTAATATTTGAAAACCAATTTCATAAAAGCAGAAATTGTCCTCAGAAATATTAGCCTCAAACAATAAGCAAAATAGAACTTCAAATTGAACATTTAAATGTCCGAAAGTTAGGTTTGCATAATTTAAATTGTCGTGCAAATCGTTTACTTATGAAGCATAAAAATAAAGGTAAGAACAAAATCACTAAAATTAAGCGTAATTCGAAACGTAAATTACACTAAAATTAAGCGTAATTTCGTAAGATCTTCAATTTTTAAAACAAGAGAATATATTTATAAATGAGCATTTTCGAGGTTTCAGTATAGCAATTTCAGCATTCCATTACGATGCCTACACCAATTAATAATGAGTCGTAGTTCTTTCAACTTTTCAAATAATTTAAATTGATGTCCGAAACTTTCCTCTAATTTAAATTTGAATGTCATTTCTATCTACAATCTAAATAATATTCCTATTATAATGAAATTAGGAACAAAGCAAAACTCATCAAAGAAATCTCGTATCTGTGGAAAGCAACGATCTGCAGGGCATTAGGGATCGGCAGAATTACCTTTCAAATACTTTGTTTTTTTTTCTTTTTTATTTAAAATTGAATGTTTTGAATGAATAATATTCAATTTTTAAAAGCTATCTAAATTTCAACAAAGTTTTTAAAAAAAATTATTTCCTTGGTCCAAAATATAGAAATTGTGCTATTTAATGTACGAATATAAAATGCATCCGTACTATGTTACGTGTATGGAAGTACTATTTACCTAAGGAAACTGTTCCCTTACTTGCTGATTTCTTGTTTTATCTTTTTTCATTTCTTTTTATTTCTTAAAAAATTTTTAGACGATTTTAAGAAAGATCCCGCATCGATTGAAGTGTTTTTATATTTATAATTATTTCATTCCTTTAACAAGCAGTATTTGGCAGGGATGCAAAAGGGAATTCAAATTGATCAGTTTGTTTACTTTTCATACAAACTTGAACAAACTTTGCATAACATGAGGACTCCTAAAAACTAAACAAATTTAATTTTAAGGATTGAAAAGTCATTTCTACGTCAAATATTTCGCGTGATTAAATTACATAGGATTTTTGTTAACGTTAAAATAATTTTGTGAGTATAAAGATTATTCTTGTCACCTGAATAAATGATGGCAATGTCAGTGAAATATTAACCATAATATAACACCTTTGGACTAAGGTTGTCATAAAGGTATAAGTTTGAGACAATTCTTATATATGAGGAAAGTTTTAATAAATTCTTTTTTTCTTCTTGCTTCTTGCTTCTTTGCTTGATTTTGAAATAACCGTTCATGAAATGCTGTGTAAGCTGAGTGTATATGAAGGCACATTCAAGCAGTAAAAGAATGGTTATTCGTTTGGAAATTTGCATAAAATTTTGGAAGAACTCGGTCGAACTGCATGATTTAGTTCTTGAAGATCGCATCAATTGTTTCTTTCTCTTTGCTTAAAGTAGGAAGCTTCTTTTTCAATTAAAATGATCAAAGCTGTTCGATAAGAATTTGTAGAGCAAAGTACATATGAGTTTGTGTCAAATAGTATTAAGAAGGAATGGGAATATTATTATAGACTGTATTATTCTCAGGTCTGAACTGGGGAGTATTTAATAGATCTTTAGAGCTGCTTTTGAGAGGAGTATGGAAATGAAAAGACATTTTTGCCATTCACTTGAAAACACGGTAGAACGGTTTTTCTCGTGATTTGTGATCCTTAGTTCTTACTGGTTTATCTACTACATGATTCAGATCGCAAAACGTAGAAGACATTTTTACTTGCTAGACTTTTGTAAATGTTTTTCACAGGATATCCCTTTTTTATGGGACAATTTTTCATTCCTGACGGGAATTATTCATATCTCGAAGATTACTCTACTAATAGCTATCTGAAATGCAAAATGAAATATCAAATTATTTTAGGCTTTTTGGACACTATATACTTTAATATGTCCGATTGATATCGTGCCAATAATATGATAACAAGGATTTCTTCATTGTTTAATATTATACAAATTAAAATTGTCTAATCAGCTTGAGCAATCTTAATGATATGCTAGTATTCAATTGTGCTGTAAATTAAGTTCTTTATTTAATGGGAAAGCAATCAAAATATGGGTTCTTTAGGATGGATAAATCTTTATCAATACAGAATATCTGAATCGCACACTTTTGCAAGTGTTTAATATGGCGAAATTTCTGCATGATGTTTTTAAAGGACTTGTTGATTATTCAAATTTTGAATACTCACACTCCTAACTACTTCTTTGGATGTGTCAAGTTCCATGAAAATTGACAACAATAAAACTTACTTTTACATGGCATTGATGTAAATGCAAATGATTTGTAAATGAATTAGATACAATGTTTGAATCAGAACAAACCGGGTTACTATACATAGATGCTTGCTTATTCGTTCTTAATTTTGTGGCTTTAAGCTTTAATTGCTCGTTTCTTCTAGATATGAAAACCAATTTATTACAGATAATTATATCAGTGAAAAAACCACGAAAGGGAAGATAACTGAAAGTAATGTGTTTGTGTGATATGTGCTAGCTCTTGCTAACTTTCCTTGTAAATGAAAAAGCTTTTAAAAAAAATCCGTAGATTTTATTATTTAAAATTTTCCTTTTATTGTAACTTAACATGCATTTTCCCACATCTGGTTGTAGCCTAGCTTTATTGAAAAACGTCAGGAAAGATTTTGCTTAATGAGCTGAGATACATTTACCTCGTTCCATACATGCAACATTCGAGTGCATTCTGTCAGAGCTGATGACATGAGTTTACGGCATGAATTATATATGGATAGTTTTTTTACTAGGATATTTACAATAGTTCAGTTTTCAGACTACTTGAACTGGATCAACAATTCCGTTATTTTTACGTGGCATGTCTTTCAGCGCTGCTGTCAATGTTGCATTAAATGAGCCTGATGAAATAGGTTTGTAACGTCAATCGTCAAATCAGCTTTTTCCATTTACCACTTAGCGGTTAAATAAACCGTCGATAATACGAGTTGTTTAATCTTAGTCCGATATCTAACTAACAATGTTTATTTTGGACTCTGGTTTGCAACGAAGCTGCCGGAACATATGGCATTTGCTTTGATAATATCAGTTGTTGCTGCTTTTTCGCCTCGATGATATATGAAATTGAAATGCATAACAAATTTTTCCGGTAATTCATTTTATTTTATGAACAGTTCATTCGAAAGTCTGACCATTAGCTGAATGAAGTGATACATTTTTGATTCCATTATAGGCCAGGATCATTTGGCCAAGTCATAAGTATCGCAATTAATGCGATATTTATGACTGCTGACTGACACACGCAAGTCGATGATGATTGCTTTCATCTCAAGCATACATACTTTATGCTAAATACGTTTCATAGCATTTTAGTGCCACCATTTGCCAATCACATTTCCATTATTTATTTTGTGTTATAGAAGGCTGTTTATTCTTTTCTCAGGCATGATGAACTAAGGAATTAGAAAGCCACAATTCCTTTATAATAAATTGTGACTTTCCATGGTTCCTTAAGTTAGATCTTTCTCTTTCTCTTTACTCTTTCCGCTTCTACAAATAACGGTATGTTTTTCAAAATTTTTAGGACAGTTGTATTGTTGATTAAAGAAAATGAAATCTAAGAAACTTATATGACGTGTATTATTGTCCTAACTGTATTACGATTTCAACAACCCAATTATACTTAAATCGATCGGATAATAAAGGACGTAATGTTTTCACATTATGAAGAAGAAAGGAATGAACGCATGTTTTCTATTTATTTAAGAAATGAGACAATAATTTCAATTTGTCTCACATACTTTCGATTTTTAAAATTCAATGACTTAATTTCAATTTCATTCGAACAAATTTAAATTGTCAAGAAACAAATATGTTTAAAGAAATCCCATAAAATAACAAATATGTTAGAAAAGATCCAATAAAATAATACTATTATTAGTTTTAGCTTGTTATCCACGAATGTTTTTTGATAACAAAGAAGAGTTTTATTTGACTCTAAAAATAAGTAATGAACAAGCCAAAGGTCGGTTTGTACATTGTTATTTGGCTTGAATAATCTGATACAAATTAAAAATACTTTGCTTTTACAAGTTTATTAATATTAAAAACGAATTGTATTAGTAAAATCAACGAGCATTTAAATTTTTAAGGTAGAATTCATCGATATGTCCTGCCATTATTTAAATTTTCTTATCATAGATATAGCCAAGAAGAGAATGAATGAACTTTTTAGTCCAAAAGGAACCCTTCGCAGGATTTGTAACTTTTTTTAGATCAAAGTAATAAAGTAATATTTGTTTTTTACCCTGAGCAATTTAAGCAGGCAAAATGAAAAGCAAAAACATTAAGAAGGAAGGAATGATTCATTGCTCCCGCTGAAAATACGAACTTTAAGGGATTACCTGGAAATATCAGAGGAATAAATGATTTTGTTAAACAAAAGTCTATCAATCGCAAGCGCACTTGTAGTAGGGTAAAATACATAAGTACAGTGCATTTTTAGCCTTCAATGGAAATATGACCAACCTTAAAGTGAATCTTAAAAAAGTTTTTGTGAAAAATAAAGTTTCAATGATGTTTTAAATCGAATAATTATCCATTCAGAATCAAATTTCTTTATACCATATGAAGTACGAGATCATTATTTGAAAGGTCACATGGGACTGAAAGGTCAAACAAGATCGTTATTAAAAGAAACAGTTTGAAAGTGAATAGAGGCCTCGAGGTCAGATGTTTGTTTCCTGTAATAAAATGTAAAATTATGAACTAATTACTCATGCAAGAGAAAATCATCCTTAATTTATACTGCTTAACGTTTCTTACAAGATAAAATAAGAGAGAAATCTTTTCTGTTTACACAGATATTAGGTATTCAGATTAATCTTTGCTCTAGCTTAAACTAGCGCTTATGTCAGAGTCTTTCCTTTTCTTTCTTTCTTTCTTTCTTCTCTTACTCTAAAAGTTCTTTTTTTCAATTACTTGTCAAGTCTGAATGTGTCATTCTTAATGACATGATGTGCATAATTGCTGTCGTTTAAACTATGCAAATTTCCGATTCATTTTCACGTGCTGGAGAATATTCAGCTGGTGAAATATTTTCGTAAAATTCAGTTGAAACAATTAGGATTTCCGTGGTATGTAATTATCATTTTACGTAATTTTGCTGTGTTAAACATTCTTTGAAATATAGCAACAACAGAAAACATTATCGATCAGGCAGGATAGATGGAGCAGCAGCAGTTGCTCGCCAATTTTCCTATCAATATCGTTCAAAACATTCATCACTTTCTTTTTCTTTTACCTTTCTATTTTTCTGATAAATTTTCTTTCACAAATTAATGTTTTAATTCTATTCAGTATATTCATCAATTTTATACCACAAATTATCTATCAATTTGAAGGGTTTAAAAAAATTCCCAAAATTAGTGACTGAATAGAGAAATTGCAGTACGTAAGCATCTTACCTTCACATTTGGTATCATTATTGAGCTGTCCTCCTCACAACCGCCAAGCGACAACAACCTTATTCTTATTAGCAATTCCACGGACGATCAGGCTTTAATGAGTAAACAGCAAAATAAGTGAAAATTATCCAACTGGAAAGTTTTTCCATCTTTTAGTGGTCATTTGCAAACTTTTGAATGCAATTAAAGTTTTCATAAAACAAATGAAGAGTTTCCTAGAATTACAGGCATAATGAACTACATTGCTGGCTAGGAAGGATTAATAAAAAAAATCGATTTCATATCAACTTTCCCCTGTTTGAAATTAATTTTCTGTATTTTTGGATTTTTTTTTATTTACTTTAATTTTCTTATCTCTTCCTACTAAATCAGTACTGGTAAAATCACCATGTTTGCATTTGTAAGAAATTTTAACTGTAACTGCGGAGTGAGCTGCAATGATATCTTCTCCTTTAATTCACCTGTTGAGAATGACATTTCAAGACGGAAGAAAAAAAAATCTGAGGATCTTTTCGACCACGTTTCCTCAGAGATTCTGAAAAAAAGGCTTTGAATCTGGTTTTATTGATAACAGTTCCATGCCACCTAGTTCCATTTTCCATAAATCATCCATGAATCATTTCGTCTTGCCGGTTCCGGTCAACAACTTTCCAAAGCATATAAGCTCAAATTCCTTATCATCCGGTGCTTTTTGAAAACGTTAGTGAAATCTGAAGAACAGAGTATTTAAAACTAGTGATATCGATTCTTTTGGCTAGAACCTTCTTAATGCTTCTTTCTTTTCCTCTTCCTCCCTCTCCCTCTATCTCTTCCTCTCTCTTTCCCTCTCTGGAAATGATGTTACATTTCAATTTCAAGTTACCACTTTTTTTTCTTTTTCTACTACTTCTGCGTCATTTATTTGCTACTCATTTTCGAAAGCTCAATTTTGAAATTTAGATATTTCCTTTGTAAAATTTCTTTTCCCTTGGGATTTCTAGAATTTTTAAGAATAAGCTATATGCTAATGAAATTAGGAATAACAATCATTTTTGAGGAAATTCATTTTGTTCGCTTCATACTTAATTATTGATAAAATTCCCTTTGCAATTACTAAGCAATAATTTTTGTTTTCCTTATCTAACAGACAAAGTTCCTAAACGTTTGTTGACTGTTGTATTGTTGTCCCGTCGTTATCATTGTTTGGTGAATTAAATGAGGAAATATCCTGGTGTACAGTGACGTCATTAGCTGGGCACTTTACTGATCAAAGTTATTGGAATATTAGCTACCCGAGTGATAATTTATGCCTTGCAGTGTATTTTTACATACCGATTATCATCGTTTTATCTCCTAGTTAGGATGCCTCTTGTGTTGGCAGTATCTGACTGATATTTTAGGCCAAACTTTTGCCTTTTCCTCTTAGTTGTTAATCTTTCTACTGCATCCTTGGCTTCCAGTTTGACAACTTACAACCTCAACTGGATAGTGCAATTAGAATCAACTGTGAACTCATTACTAATTCGCTCTTAAAATTTCTCTCTTTCCTTCCTTCCTTCCTTTTTCCTTCAATCCCATCTCTTCAAGCTGTCTATTTATTATTTACTTCGTATTTCAACACTTATCACTCAACGTGCTTTCTTGCCTGTTTGCTTGCAACCTTCCATTAGAGTACTACGAAATACGGAAAAGTGGAAGCAAGCAAGCTATTGTTATCGTTGTCGTTGTTGTTAATGAATTCGGTTTTGTTCGATTATTTCCGTTTTCAAAACAACTGAGAGATCGATCAGCTGTTATTGTATTTCACAGTATGACAGGAAGGGTGTTGACACAGTGTGATCGTTGTGGCATCACTGAGTGATAATTGCTGTTACCGATGGATGGATGGATTCTGCGATGTAAGGTGTAGCAGTGTGTAGAAGAGAGAGGAACAGTGAATAGAGACAGAAACATACTTCGAAATTGTAATTTTGTTTCACAATTGCATTTTACTGATGAAATTTAACTCTGTAAGCGAATTGATGATTTTTTGCTCCGTGCACATCTTATTAGTTATTGGACATTTTGTTCCTTGAAATCATTTCCCACTCCATTGAATAACTTTCATTTAGTTTTTTTTTTCGTAACGATGGTTGATAGTTATAAGGTCATAGGTTGATAGCAGAGAATAGTGATAGTAACAAGGATCACACTGAACGGATTGATAAAAAAAGTGGTAAGAATAGTAGTAATGATAACGATATTGTTCAATTTTTCAGCTGCCATATAGTTTTGATTGTTTGTGAAAGACTGACAATATTTTGACTATGACATTCACCTATCATTTCCTTAGCTAGACGAACTAAATTAGTCATCTCTTATCAATAAGTCTCATAAAACGTGCCGTATTGAGATGCTGTGATTCGTTTTGGATGGTGGATTAATTAGAATTAGGTGGTGATCATTGCGATCCAAACAAACTGGAATATCCATCCGTTCACTGTTATACTATTGTTATAATTACACTAATCATCTCAGTATACCTTGAAGTTCCTTCTTTTTCCCTCTCATTTTTTGCATTGTCGGTAAGTATTCTGAAGAAAGCAAATACATTGAATGACTCACATCGAGGAGCGAATGTGAAATGAAAGGTATCGTTGCTAAAGTGGCCTGAAATTAATGAAACCTATAGCACAAGCGGCATTCAGTGGCTATGGGTTATGGAAAAATTAAATGATGGAATTATTTTGGAAAATTTTAAATTTTTGTTTGTTAAATGTCTTTAAGAGATTGAAGAACAGACAGAGTGTTAGTTTTGAATTTTGATACTTTCCCTTCATGAACTAGACTTGGTTAAGAATGTATATGCGAAGGTAGCTAGCTATTGGAATGCTACCTCAAACTCCTGAAATTTGTATTTTTTGTCGGTAGCATTAAATTTTTGTTTACTTAATGAACTCATAATATGTATTTGTTCTTTTAAAGAAATACTACTTAATCTTACTTGATTTCACTTCTTCGATAAATTTGGCGACAAAATATCCGTCTAATTTTGCTCCTACAAATTTATGAGCAGTTAAAAGAATAAACATTACATTTGATCTCTCCTCTGTGACTGTCTTATACTTTGTCAAATTGATAACAACAACGTTTGTTTTTTTTCTTTTTTTCTAGTAATATTAGCGGAATTTTTCATTATCGCATGTTTAAATATCTGTCTGCCTCTTCGCTTGCTCACTTCACGGGCTTGTTCGTTTTATTTTTTTATCTATCATCAATTCAGCAGCAGGTTTAAGGTAAAATTGCTATTGAATATCGTTATTTCAGTTCCAGTTTCCCTTTTCCCTTTCTTATACGAAACTGTCCCCGTATTGGAAACGTTATCACCGCCTCTTATAAATCATAGCTTCGCTTAACATCAAAAATGCACCTCCTTCGCGGATGAGGAACGAAAAAGAAACACTTGCAGTGTTGGAACTCTCTTTGAAAAGCAAGTATTAATGTGAAATAGTTACACTTGAACTATTCTGCACAACAACTTCACTCTAAATTATTTTGATATATTTTACATTCTAAAACATACAAACATTTCATTTCTAGAAATCTCAAAAGTAATAGTAATCAGTACATACTTCTCAATCATTTCAGATTACATATTCACCCTCCAAATGAAATTTCTATTCTGTGAACCATGAACTTGGAATATATTATCAATATTGGCAGATGTTATTAATATGTCGGTGTCAATATTTTAGAGATACGCATAACTTTAAGGGATGTAGAGCCGTAATACATGTTTTTGTGTTTTGTGGTCCGGAAGTTTACTAGCAGATGCACAGGTGTTGTTATGCAGCAGAAGCAGCAGCAGGTATCCCGCCTGCACTTTTCGAAAGGAAACCGCAGAACTGGGAAGGCAGGAGTGCACAATTATTCGTGTCGTGATAGCCGTCTGGTCATTCGCAAAGATGCTATGATCAAAGTCGGCCATTTCGGCCGAGCGGCGCCGTTCGCATAGCTAACAACTGGCAGGAGCATTACATTTTCACGCAGACGGACAGACTGACAGACACACACAACCTTAACATATACATACACACACATAGTTGTGGTACATACTAGCAGAGAGAATAGAAGATACACGCGGAGAAGTACGTGAAGCACATTTTCTGTCTCCAAAAGTAAAGGAAAGATGTGATCGATTCTTGGACTAGACTTTGAAAGCTATTTTCCCTTCTATATTCTCCCATAGGCTGTTTGTCAATTTCTGAATTTTTTTGTGTTCATGGTATGATTGCGCTCCTAAGGAAACTGTCTGCGTCTCCAATGGAGTCATTTTATAGGCCTTACTTCAAAACTCATTTATCTATTGATCTACATCTACAGTCGCGCTACCATTGAGGACCCAAAACGATCCTTGAAAATTCTGAATATAACCAATAATCATCACCCATTGTCCTAGACATTATTGCGCATATATACATAATATATATGTACATTTATATTCCTTGCTGAATATTACTGATCGTTAGATATGTCGAATATAAAGGCTGATGGTGATGGTAGTAATAATAGCAATAAAGGGTCATCAGTATCAGCACCACCATCACCGCCCCTAACATCTTCGCTACCTTCCTCGAAGCAACAACCTGCTGTTGTTAATGTAATCCCGCCACCAGCATCCGATGAAACGCAGCAAGCGCCTCTTGCGGAACCTGAACAAACAGAGCATCATAACCTGAAACATCGTGGAAGTATTTGGGATACTTATATTGAAATGAGTGATGTTGCTGAGCGCAAAAGGCGAATGACTCGTCAGCTCGATAGTACTGATCAAGCACAACACCTGGCTGATCTTGGTAAGATGCTTTACTATTGAACGATAACACTTTTGTGATATAGTAGTAGATGTAGCAACCATATGGTAATGGGAAGGCGGCAGAAATTATAAATTATTAAATTTGCAATTCCTTAAATGACTTCATAATCATGCTTAATTAAGAAGGCGAGAGGAAGATACGTGAGCCAGAGTGGCCACTCAGCCTGTTAAACATATACACACAGGGTACAATTTTTGGGTCATTCGATTAGCCTCTGCAGCGCTATTTCAGATACAAATTAAAAGGAGATTAAAGTAGAGTACGAGAAAGCTGCCAGAAGCGTTAAGCATTCTTTCTGACACATCACAGAGTAAGATAAAAAAATTTTTTGCAAACCATTCTTTCCGAATCCAACTCATTTTATTGCTGTTTTGCCGAAGTGACCTTTAAAATGACCACTAAACAAATGTTATTTTTCTTATTTGAATTGGTTTGCATCTCCCATTCCGCGAGAAAATCGTTGTTATCTCAACAGTTGTTCTCTTCCCTTATTTGCTCGCACAGAAAAGTTTCGTTATTTGAAATGAAGAAAAGAAGAAAAGTCTGCTTCGAAAGAGTCACACTCACTTCTATAATAATGTGAAAATTAGTTTTTCAACTAAAAAAATATTACTTATGCAAGCTGCAAAATTAAAAAATGCATTGAACTTACTGACAAATTTTAAAACATCTCTAGCATTTTTCGAGCATATGAACTTTCTATTTGACCAGTCCACTGCTGCTGGTATCCATTTGTTTGTATCCGTTAAATTAATGAGGTTTATTACAAATCACATTTATAATGAATAAACAAACACCAAATGTTACTGGCCAGTATTATGATGTTAAAATAGTATAACTTTGTCGCAGATTTGTGCTAGAATTTTAGCTCCCGGCGCACGAGTGATGTTTCTGCTAAAAGAGCAGGATCAATTACCAGCGTTATTCACGGAGATGGGTGAATTAACCCGATCTGGAATGGTTGAAGAATGGCGTGAAACGGCCAGATGGGTGAAATTCGAAGAGGATGTCGAGGAAGGTGGCAATCGTTGGTCAAAGCCACATGTGGCTACTCTCTCATTGCATGCTCTTTTCCAACTGCGTTCTTGTTTGATGAACGGTGTTATAATTATGGATTCTGAAGCAAAAGAATTTGCAGAACTTATTGGTCAGTTATATTTTGTATTTTCAGTTCGACTAATTTTTTGCATCTGAAAAGTTTGAGTCAGATTCTTATGTAAGGAGTGTAAGTGTACACTTCCAATATATCACGACTCTATTTATCACCCAGCTATAAATAAATTATTTTCATCCAGTAGACAAATTTAAACAAATTATGAGTTTCCAGAAGAGATTTTGGAACATTTACTGGCAGCCAGACAACTAGAAGAGACAGAAGTTGATGAAGTTCGTAATGTGCTTTCAAAAAGGCATACTCATCAATATGAACAGGTAATTAATAAACTTCCGTTCTCTCATTTATATTTGTGGTGAAAACTCATTCACATTTGTATCACTTTTCTGTCATTCTTTTCTCCCATTCAATGCCATTATCATTATATTATCATTATAAGCTGTTTCGCTACTACAAATGACTGTGCAGGAATAACGGATGCCTGATACCACCTTCTTTTACTCGATTATTCTCTTCGTTTTTCCCTAGACCAAGGCATTTATTATAATGTATAATAAATTATATTGTTGTTTACACTATGAATATATTTGCTTCGCACCTATCTTCCTTATCACTTAAATTTTTTAAAGTTAGTGCAAAATTTGAGTTTTGCAGATTTTAGTAATAAAATGTTCGAATTTCATATTCTCTGATATAATCTTCACTAGATTCGTTTCCTTTCATGCTTTTTGTTTGATTATTGTCTATCTTGGTATAAGTTCTTCATGAATTCAGGAAAACAAAGATTATTATTATTAAAATGGGTTTTACAGTCTTTGTAAATAACAAATGGACGAATAATACCTAATTCTTTATTTAAACTAAGAAGTTTGGAAATCGAAAGATAATGAAAATCAAAGATACGAATCATATTTCCTTCCAATTAAGGCACGTGGGACAGGAAATGGCAATGGCTCTTCGCAAAGTGGTTTTCTGAATGCAGTACGTTCGATATCTGATATTGGTAAGACATTCTCACATGGACGGAATCTGGGAAAGTTGCAGGAGGAGACGATAAACGAAGGTACTGAAACATCGTCGAAAACGCCAAATTTGAAATTGCCAGAAGTAATTCTTTTTCCTTTTAAATTCGGTATAAATACATTCCACCATGGGAAATTTATTGGATTTATGGATATTTTCAGCCATTCAACCATCTCAACTATCACTTCAGCCATTAAATTCATCTTCACGTTATGCTGTAACTAGCCTAAGACTGTAGGAAGATGCGATTGAGATGAACTTATGTGTAATAATGCGCCCCTTTTTCTAATTAATCAAATGATCAAAATTCTTAGATTACTGCAACCTATCATTTGAAACTACTTTTTCACAATTCTTCCTAACAAATTAACTCTCTTTATGTTGCTAGTTTAGTCCTACTTTTTCGTACTTTTTTGATTCCAATTTTAGCACTGGATATTTTCTAAATGAATGTCCCAATGCATATTATTTCCATTCCTCTCCAACTTTGCCACCTTTGATCTTTTGAATAGTAGTATCTTTGGACCTTTACTCAGATTTTACTTCTGAGCAATGTTTGCAATTTTTGCCAGAAAGTACTTTAGGTCATCGTTAGATCTCTTAATGTATATTTGACGAGATCTCTAGTAAGACACCGAACTTACGCGCAATAGGTCTTTACGATTATTGTATCGAAGATTTGGACGTTTGTTTTGTGGAGTTTCATTTAAGCTTCATTAAAATTTTGATCACATGTGACCACCATAATGTTAGCCTTATTTATACATTCTATATACATGAATAATTGCGGTATTTCCTCAGCTCGTTTATTCGTTCTGGTGCAAATTGAATCCATTCAGAAATTTCAAATTTCTAATATATGAATTGTCATTCAGTGTGAGTTTTTATATAAAGTAAAGCCTTAAGACACAAAGTAACTTAGCAATAAGAAATGGCATGAGCGCAGAAGTCTTAGTTGATGTATACGACTGAAATGTACAGGTGCAATAAATAACTAATTGCATTCAAAATAAACTTGAAATTTGTTTCGAAAATTCTTCCAGGCGAGAGAGGAAGAAAGAAAACGAGGAAGTATATCATTTCTCAATAATTTAATAGCAATTTGCCAAACTATGATTAGATATTATTGCAATGATAAATTTACACGAAAGAGGAATCTATAATTTCTTAAAAATTTGATTCATACAAGCTGCTTACAAAGATTATCACAGGTTGTTCAGATATTTCATCGTTTTAGTTCCTGATTTAACGGAAATATATTTATCAGTTATTTTTTTTTGACTTTTCTTTGATCAAAAAATGGTTATTCTTTTACCAGACTGATGAAAATCTATATTAATAGAAATGTAAATGTTCGTCTGTTTATTACCTTAAATCTCCGAAAGTTCTTCATCGATTGCTTTGAAATTTTGGTACAATTTGCATTCGAATGCGTGCATGTTTTTATATACCTTTTATATAGATATTACATCTGTAATAGGTAAAGACATACTTTTTTTTGAGTATATATATATATATATATATATATATATATA